CAGGACATGGCTAACTCACAGATCGAACCCTGAAACAGCCTCTGGGCTGATCTAAAGCAGGACATGGCTAATTTATAAATCGAATTTGAATTTAGCTTTTTAGGTTTTGTTTGGGGGGGGGGGACCTGGCAACCCGGAGAAAAGACCGTCCATTGAATCGAGGGAGACATCCTTGACCCTAGTCATCCCAAGTATTCACCTTAGGTAACTGAAAGCGATTCATCTCGGGATACTTTGAGAGATAAAATAGTGCATTGCGCATCATGATATACTTGTATGTAACGAACTTTGCAAATCTCACAATCATAACACAGGAAGCCCAATACATAGTCCATTCTGCTGTTTGTCTTGTTTTGTGTTATGAAATTTTTTTGCCTTTTATCACTAGTTATCTAAACACCAAGGTAGATCTACTGAAGGACGAGTATCGTATGGTCATGATAATCCACCTGCTGCGAGGTCAGTTACTGTTTTGTCTTACAGTATAGCTGCGCATTACACAGCACGATTGCACGGAGAAATTGCCTCTGCAACTTGTCTTGCAACAGCGTTGTGTCATAAGTTGCAAGAGTGTTTACACGGTGTAAGGGTGCATTTGGGTCAATACAATAAATGTATAGAAATTGATATCTGCTATTGTTTATCTAAACTATTGGGCTATCGACAAGCAATTCCCAGAATAGCTCAATTGGAGGACAATACAATTAATTCCAATTTTAATTTTAATATTAATAATATTAATTTTAACCTGTAGTAGTTTAACCAATCAGCATGCAGGAATAAATATAATTGACAGAATCAAGTGGGAGACTTGTGTACCTATAATTTGTCGCACGGGGGACTGTATTCTAAGATTCATGTCATTGTTCTTCTATGACAGATGCTATTTTCTTCGACCAAGAGCCTCCAAGGTAAATACCTCGCCACTGACAGATTGTTAGTGTAATGCGAAAGGTGGTTACTAGAAAAGAATTCTAATTCACCTCAGGATTTTGATATTAAAACCAACATTTATGAAATATATTTGCAAATTCTGTATGCGTATTACTGTGTATTTTTCTCAACCACCCACGCCATAATGTATTTATATTTTTACGATGTCGTTGATCCCAAGACACAGCTTTTTATGTTAAAAGCTACATCTATATCTGCACGAGATCTATAAAAAATATAACTTTTGAGAATGTTACATAAGATAGAGATTTTTTCTTCTTATCGCAGAACTGATGTCGATAAGCTTGAACGACGCGAACAGACGCTCAAAGAAATGAAGGAATTTTTACCAGGTAAAAGACATGTTTAAAGAAACGGTCCAAAACGTTTTCCATGGTTTGACAAAGTTGGCAGAACTCTCTTAGTATAACATACTAGCTGTATAACTTTGGTGTCGTATGTTGTTGTAGACGGACTTGTTCGTGTGATAGGGGCAGACAGGCACGAGTCTGCTATGAACTTACTACTGGAACTYTTCCAACACCCGAAACTCAACAAACAGGTAACAAATTCGCTCTTTTCCCTTTCCTTTTATTCTCACCCCCTTTTTATTCCTTTTTATTTTTGTCTTTTGATATCCTTCGTATTGTCTTTCCTTTCGATGCGTGTTCTGTCCTCATTTTTCACTTCCCTTGTACCCTGGCAGGGCTGAAAAACGCATGCGCATTTGCCAAAATTGTCCAAGCTGATTGTGAGTCAATCTCGTACCTAGAGCCTGCGTTTCTTCTGGCCTGCGGCGTAGAACAAGGGCTTTGGCATAATCCATTTTTTAAGACCAGGATTTCTTGGACTTCGGATATAAGAGCGCATGCGTTAAAAGAATTGCCAAAAATTTTTTAAAAAATGTTCCTGATTTCTAATTTTTATTTTGATCTAAACCTTAGCGAAACCATATGACAGGAATTTTTTAAAGGAAAGGGTTGATGAGCCCGCGATTTTTTTCCATGTTACCCGTTACGTACCCTGGGTCATTTCCAGAGGTGCTCTCGCTACAGTGCCTCTCGGTCGTAGATTTTCGAGAAGGACTGGAGTTCAAAAGCCTCTGTCACACACAGAGCAGCCACCTTCTTTATTCATTACTTCTCATCATTTGCACAAACTTCAACGGATTCTTGGTCGCTTTTGTTTCCCAGCTTGCGTATGTTCTTCTGGACGCCATTATTGAAGAAGTATTCCCTGAATTGAACCAAGTAAGTATCAGGAAAATAGACCACCTTGGACGCATTAAGATGCAATTAATAATCTATTTATCAAACGTAACGTAAAACATTGCTATAGTGTGTGTTCAATCCCTTGAGATATGAATGACGATCAAACAGCCGCCATCTTGGTTGATCTAACAAGAGAAGCTATTGAGAAACTCTTTGTTATCGTCAGCCAAGATGGCGGCTGTGACGTAACGTGCACATGCTCTATAGATATGATCTGGATATATTATACATTATTAGATATAATTATTATATCATTATTGGATAAGGTTGAGCATCATATTAGACCTTATTCGTCCTGGTCAAATATTTTACCCATTTCATACCAAACGGTTGTACATGAGAAGAAACATGAATATGGATACAACTCAAACAAAATATCTTATTCTCAAGAGAATTACACGTGGTCTGAAATGGGAAAATATCATGCCTACGTGGATTAAGTTATATTCTCTGCACCTATGTAAATCGTTATGTAAGTTAATATATTTTGCAGGATTTTTTGATTCGTCTGATTAATTTTATTTTTTGTCTCGTCTTGATTCAGGAAGACAGTAATGACGATATGAATGATGTCTTCTATCACGTCTAGAACTATGATGTTTGTTGGTGGGTCCTTTACTCTATATAATGTAATATAATGATAATGAAATATAATGATAGCGCTGATAATAATGTTGAAAATGATGCATGATGATAATGTGATGATGATGTATAATAATGATTTAAGATAATAACGTATGATGATGGCGTACGATGATGACATATGATGATGAAGATGATGTGATGATGTGATGATGATGATGATGATGATGATGTCGTATACTGTATGATGGTGTATGATGAAGATGATAATGATGAATGATGATGATGTGATGATGATGGTGATGATGATGATG